TCTCAAAAGAAGGGTGCCCTCAACTCAAATTGCTTAGAATATCCATGAAAAACAATCCTAGGAAACACAAGGTTATCCCATAGTAACTAATAACTGCTAACTGTACTTGCAATTGCATAAGCTTGGATTGGCACATAAACTCATACCTGGACTTTACCATCGCTAGTTCCAACAGCAAGGCGTGTACCACGTTGAGCCCAGCCAACCGAACAAACAGAGTTGTTCCCCAATTCGCATAATCTAATTACCTGCATTTATCATATCAAAACCGAATCACTCACAAAGGAATAAATTTTCAATTTGCCTCGCAGAACAAAGCCATATCACAAACATGTCCGCAAATAACCCACGAAAAATTGAAGTGGCGAAATTGAGCATCCCTAATTACATTGCTTAATTTTCATTGAAGGAAAAAAAAAAAAAACTTGGAAGGGAAAAAAGACTCACCCTGCTGCTAGAAGCATTCCACAAATAAACAGAGCTACCCAGAGCCACAGCCAATACATTTTGGGAAGACCAATCCACGAGATTCAGATAAAAATCATCTTGAAGCGCAGGTGCATCCAGAATCTAACACGGCACAACATTATTATTGTCAGAGAATAATATAAACAGTTACAAAGGCGCTCAGTTAAGGTTTTGGTTTGAATTGAAATTTTACGTTGTCATTTTACAAGGTAAAACAAAAAATTGGTTCGTATAATATTCAAGCTTCAAACCCAAATTTTTTTTGAGTTAACAATTTTTTTTTTGTTAAGAGAAAAATACAAAGTATTATAAAGGCCCTCACCAACAACAGCTTTAAGTTTTTGAATTGAATAAATAAAACCCACAGAATTCAAAGCGGAAAAAAGAAAAAGAAAAAAGACACAAACAAACCTTATATGGTGACGAGGAAACCTTTCGAGGAGGTTTAACAGAGTTATGATGTGTCCCACCACCAACACCAACCCCAACCCCAGGAAGCTCATCATCGTTGAACATAAAGAGAGACTCCATGGACTGTCGAGTCTCCATTTTATAACGGAATATATTCGGACTCCGTTTATCAGGTGTGACCGGAGCATCTTCAGGTCCGAATAACGCCGTCCGCAAGAGAGTGTTGTAGGTGGTGGAACTCTCTTCTGACGAGGGTATATTAAAGAGAGCGAATTTGGAAGCGGATCTGCTTGGTATGAACCTATCAGAGTATATTGTTCTTGAAGGCGACTTGAACTGATTGAAGTTTATCATTCGCCGGACATGCTCGTGCTGAGAACAAGAAAGAGATTCACTGAATGACTCCTCCATAACAATAACAAAACGAACCCTTTCTTCTTCTTCCCCTTTCCTTTGCCTTGCGTTTAAAGCTCTCACAATTTTCCCGGGAAATACAGGCGTTATTGCGGGAAATTCTCACTGTGCATCTTCGGCAATGAAACCACAATAAATAAGTAAAATAAGAAAACAAAAAAAGGAAAGTAACTCGATTTACCACTTTCCTTTTCCTTTAATTAATGTAACGTTTATGCATAAACAATGTTATTTTAAGCGTGTAAATTAAGTTCAGTTTTTTTTAATGAATCTAATTTTAGTTTATTTTCTTAATTATGTAAGGTTATTTTATTTATGATATATTGAAATTTTTTATAATTAAATCATTACGATAATTGAAAGGTTTTGAAGATATTTATGAAGATATTGACAATTTATTTATCCATTGGTTAGTATAAATAAATTATTTGACGATTTTTTTTAAATGATTTTAATTTGTTTGTGTTATCTTGAATTAACTCATATATCAATCTTGAATTCTAAACTGCCAACTAATAATATGCCTTCTGTTCGTTTTATAGTATTACAAGATCCAATATATTGGCAAGATTTGAATCAAATTTGATAGAGATATTAACAGAAATTTTATATCTTAAATGACTTATCTATTAAACCTGATTTCAATGAAGACTTTAAAAAAGGAGAGTAAAGTCTGCTTTCTACTTATTTCAAATTAATGAATTGTACAAATAGGATTGTAAACGGATAAGAATTTGATCTTAGAAGAAAAAAATCATTAATGATTTTGGCATAATAAAAGTACACATAATAAAAAGATAATGGCAAGAAGGGAAACATATTTGCACAATAAAAGCTGCACCGGGGGGGGTGGAGGCATGACCGCGTAATGGCTACTATGAGATTATGCTAAATTTTTTGTTGTTGCTGAACTTATTAATCTTTGTTAGATTATGAGATTATTTTTGTTTGTATACTTTTTTCTAAGTTCAATACGATGTTATTTAGGGACGGAAATTATGGTATTTTTGTGATTTTAATTTATTTTAGGATTATAATAATTTTTATATTTATAAATTTTTAAGATTTCAATACCAAAATGACGTCGTCTATGCAATAAATGCAGATAATTTATCTGCAGAAACTGCATAAACATTTTCCCCTTTTTTAAATTATGTTTTCTAAGATTTAGGATCTATTTATTTCGATGTTTTAGTAAAATTGATTTTGAAATAATTGGTGTGGAAAAAATTAATTTGTATTTTTAAAAAATAATTCAAAAGTGGATTTGAAAAAAAGTATTTTTAATTGGATTGTATAATAAATATCTTTTGAAGTTTTAAAAAAATTAACGGACCCAACAAGCAAATATCTATAATCAATTTTAATCAAAAATTTAAAATTTTTCACTTCATTCAAGCTCAATATTTTTTTTTGGATAACAAATTCAAACTCAATTTTAATTACGACAAAACCATACAAACACAGTATGAATGTTTTATTTTACTAAGATTTTTGAATTCTCAATTTTTTGGATGGATATGCGGGAAAATCATTTTTTAATGGAGGTATTTAGTTCTGCAATTCATTTCCTCTCTACTGTACTCATTAACTTTTTTATGATTAGTACAAAATTATTTCAAGAATGCAATTTGTGGGTGTCAAACTCAATACCTTCTCATGAAAATTTGTAACATCAACCATTAATTCATAATAATTTGTTAATTGAAATGCTTATATTATTATATTTATTGTAAATTTTATTATATTATATTACAATATAAAATTTAAATTACTTTTTATTCGATTACTATAAAAAATGCACATTCTAATGAAATTATTTTGAAATATAAATTTTTCTTTATCAATTGATTCATTTATTTTAAAATATTAATTTATTTTACCGAAAATAATATGAATTAGAAATTTTTTATAAAAATATATATATGTAAATTCAATAAAATATATAAATTTAATTTATAAAAATATATCAAAGATAAGTTTAATCAATGAGCTCATGTGAGTAATTCCAGATGAGCGATTTCAAGTTAAGAGCATCACAAACCTTACTGCATTTAGAGTATCACGGTTAGCTTATACACAATTTGATTAATCAATTTCTCCAGTTGAATCAAAGAAAAAGACAGTTTATCTGCATCAGTATTAAGAATTTTTTTGTATGATTATTTTTTGTAGTTTAACTAAATTGACATAGTTAAGATTAAACTTGTTACCATATGCTTATCATCCAACCCCTAGTTACCATGGCCTTGGCTTATTTAATCGGATAAAAGCCTTTACGAATAAATTCATTTAAATTGGCCATGTGTTTGGCCCCTCCTCAATATTAATACTTTTATTATTTTCACATACTCGTTATTTTGACTTTTACTTGTTATTTTTGGTTTTGAAGGTGTTCCTATCCATTTAAATGAGATTGACAATTTTTTGCCAATGGCCCACACTTTGCCTCAAATGCAATTATGTATGTACAAATCCATTACTGGCCCGCCTTTCATGTTTTCTGAATGTTCTTGTGCGTATCGCCGAACTGTACTATGACATGATCCCCCACAGTGGCCCGCCATTAAAAAATTAATGGACTAGCAAGCCAACATCTCTAATCAATTTTACTGAAAGAAAAATTTAAATTTTTTCACTTCATTCAAACTCAAAGAACCATACCAAATGGTATAATATCTCACTGTACCAGTATTCTAAAGTACTAATGATATAGAACAAAGTTTAGAGAAAATCATGGCAGATGCAATTTCAGGTATAACTGAGAAAGAAAATGTTTACGGATATGGTGACTCTAGAATTTGACAGAATGACAACTTATAAAAATGATGAAAGCAATATGTCTTCTCATATGAAGATGAAAGATATATAGATATGATCAGATTAAAATATTTATGACAGAAATTGAGCCTAACCATTTTACTCATTTATTCACTGTTGCGATAAGGTATTACACCTCAATAGAGAGAATGCATGTCAGTGAGAAATTCTCTATATTGAGGTCCATATACGTATGAAAATGCAAATAGGTGACTTTTTATTTGACCTTTGCAAGCCGACTCATAAAACATACACATTGAATCGTAAAGACTGGTTCAAATCACCTCCAAATAATTATAATTATATTTTATTATTACAATTTAAAGTTTCAAAATATGGATCAAATCCCTGTAGATTTATCCATCAAATTTTCATAAACTATGTTAACAGGTAAGTGAAAGTTTATTAATACTTTTATATTATATTTCTCTAACATTTTTTTACATCCTATTGAATGGCGGTTGCGATATAACATTTTCAATTAAAATATTTTATGCTATTTTTTATTTCAGAAAATTGTAAGAATTCTACAAGTAGTAAATAACTCGTGATTATTATCAATAATATATACTAAGTGCTCATCACGTTTAGCGTATACAAAATAAAACCATTATTTTAACTGTAGTTTTTATTTTTATACTTAAATTTATGCAAAGTTGCATCTATGAGTCAACTTTGTGGAAAGACGAGAGCTTTCTTTCGGCGGGTACATTTAAGCTTGTCAAAACTAACAATTGAAGAGGCAATTTCTTCACATATAGCAATAAGCACCCGCTGCTCATGTGGAAAACTAATTTGCAGCAGATACAATCACATGCACTTACATAGTTGCTTATAAATAAATAAAAAGAAGGTCTTTGTAGTTTATAAAAGACAATGGAAGTTGCTCAGCGGAAGTTGACAGTGGTGGAATAAGTAAGTCCCACGTTCCAATTAGAAGGAGCAACATTCCAAGCAATAATAGTCTCCTTGGTGGTGTATGAAGTAATCCTGAAAGAAAGAGCTTGTCCACCGAGTGTTGCAAATGCTTGGTAAGAAGCACCCCAGTTATGGCTCATGCTAATCCATCCTGTTCTGCTTCCTTTCACCCACATGCTTGATATATCTCCTCCACCTCCCGCATTCATCACATACACCAGTAGCCAGTACCCATTTCCTTGCAAAGAGAATTGAAGCCCCCCCTTCCTTCCACATGGCACTCTGATTTATATTCATCAACAAACACATCAATTAAGTAGTTTACGTATAAGTAACTAATATATATATAAGTAGTTTACATTATGTTTGTTGAGATATATAATCCCACATTGGTTGTATGAGCAACTAATTTGGAGTTTATAAGGACTTGGACACTCCCACCCTTTGAGCTAGCTTTTGGGGTGATGTATCCAATGTTCTTAACAATGTTATTGGTCGAAACCTCCCAAGAAAAAAAAATATAAGAAATCAAGTCACATATATATGTAATTTACATTAAGAATTTAAACATGGGTAATTCTTAATTACCTGCGGTACATAACAGGGACAATGCCAGCAGTCCACTGAGCAATTTTCATGAAAGCAGGCTTGGACATGTCAAAATGCACTCGTGGTGGATTGCACCAACCACCATCATCGGAGGGTTCTGACCAATTAGGAGGGCAAAGATTGGTGGCAGTGACCGTGGTGAAGGGTACATTATTATAGCATGCTCTGGATTGGTAGCATTTTATTTGATAACAAGTCCCGCACGCATAACCATTGTTGAACAATGTCGAGCTTAAAGCCGCTGTGTCTGTCCCGTAACCATTCTGAATCAAATTCCCGTACCCACACGCTCCTCCTTCAAATCCCCCAATTTTAAAAACAAAATAAAAAGGTCATGTTAATTAGTTAACACTAATTAATGTTTGAAATTTGTTAATTGCTAGTGGTAATAAAATTGAGATAACATACCCATGGTGGCAGAAGCAGTCTCATCACCATAAAATGTGGCATGTGCAAGAGCCCATGGACTGGGTCGAAATATTCCCACAGTTAGTGTTGGATTTCCCATGAATGTGAAAGCAAGCAACAAGAAAGTACAAGCTTGAAGAATGGATGCCATGCTTAAGTTTTGGATCGATTGCTGCTAGCTATCTTTTAACTTTCTATAGGAGAAGGAATGCAATGCGATGCTCATTGACGAGTTCATGTATCCATTATATATAAAGTACAATTCCTTTAGCACGTCGCTGATTGTAAGAAGTTGTTGCCATAGTGGTGATCACCACGATAGCTTCTCTCATCTCTCCAAAGTCAACAACATTGTTCTTCTTTTGTTTTTTTGCCCCGCAACAATAATATGTAGTTGGCAAGAGAAATCTCGATGGCTTAATCATGAGTCAACTACGGTGTTGTGAATAAAGGGTGATTGATCCACAGTCCATAAGCCAGGGAAGAAAAAAAAAAAAAAAACCAAAAAAGGAATATTACATCACTCTCGGATTTTCTTGTCAGTGAAAAACGTGCGGACAAGTTTCATAGGTTTGTGTGGTGTAGTTCATCCACCGAGCAGCGATTAGAAAATTAATTGTCATTGGTCATTATAATAATTTGTTAGTCAATTAAAATTTTTAATAGCTGACTTTCATATTTATTATTTAATGTGCCATTTCTAGATCATCCACTGAGTCAACTCTTTGAACTAATTAAGTTTAGGAAATCCCCCCTATGGGGGCGTTTGTTTCGGGTGTTTGTACAACTTTGATGGGGAAATGATTCGTAGATTTTGATAACTCCACGTTTGTTTCGCTGAATTCATGAGATAACTCCATCTAAGTGAGTTCCCATCTTTCACGGTTTGCATGTGATTTTGGTCAATAAGCACTGTTGAGGATTGCTTCTTCGCGGGTAGTATTGTGTGTGAAATTCGGAGAACTAAAAAAGTGAAATAATTGGGGGACTAATTTGCCCCTCACACGTGACCAACTTTTGCCCAAACTGATACATCACTCATCCATCTTGCATCACATGTGAAAGCTGAAGAAACTCAAAACAAAGAGACCGACCGAAGAAGAAAGAGCAAAGAAAGCCACATGAACAAAGATGGGAGGTCAGGTAATGGTAATGAATGAAGGTTTTGAATGAAATTTTTATTCGTGTTTGTGTATGTGAACTGACACGTCACCCTGTTTTCCTCGATTGCACGTTCCATGTGCGTAGGTGATTTAAGAAGACTCCGGTGAAGTAGATCTACCGCGGCTGAGAAGTTACTGGTTGGTATCTCCGGTTGATTTGGTTCGCTGCATCCAACATGGAGAGATAGGATCCTGTTTGTTTGCCGACGCCAGAGGAAACTTGAACGGTTAGTATATACGCACCCCTTGGCCACATGCTATGCCCTTTATCTTTGCTGAAGCCTACTGACATCTGATAGGAAATTTTTTTTTCGTGGTATACAATTTTTTTTTAATTCCTTACTTCACATTAGTACATCTACGTTTATTTAATAAAATAATTTTTTAATTGTCCAAAAAAAATAGGTCCTGATATATCCATTGAGAAAGGTAATTTTTGATAGCTTTAAGCAATTAATTTTCTGCTCTGTTATACCAGATGTCATTGTGAAATGAGACTTATTGAAGTTGTTGATAATGGATGAAGAGAGCATTTCGTGGGAGAAGAAGAACAGTACAAACTAAATTGCTTTTTTGTTTTTCTGATTTATGGTTGACGGTGGTGGGGTTAAACCTTAACCACTTTCATGACTTGTAGTTAAATAGAGAAATTTTTTACTTTAATAATAGTTTATAAAGGCAGGGTCTCATAAGGTATGGACATTTGGCAGAAACAAAACCAAATACACAGTAGCTAGCTTACTGACATTGTAGAATATAGGAATAAGAGGTGATTTTGTTTGATATTATGAGTATGGACAAGTAATGATGTGGAGGGGGAAGGATGAAGAAGTAAAATTAAGGGTGAGAGGGGCAGGAAATGAAAAGAAACATTGGTTAAGAAGTTCGGGTTTAGAGCAGGATAAGAGTTAAGGGCCGATTTGCCAAGATTGAACATTGAAACATGGTAGGCTGCTATGTAATATGTCATTATAACTATAATTGCAATGCACACATCACATAATAAATTAAGTAACATGTCCCTTGTATAGTGAACTTAACTATATGTTGCAAGTGACATATCCCTGGATCCATAGCTTGGATATTGTGCAGACATATTCCAGCAATACAGTTAACAATAGTTTTCTTTCCTTTGCACCGTAATTGATTGCACATGAGGAAAATAAAGAAGTGACATCTTCTTTTAAATCAAATTTACAGGGGATCTTTGGCCTTAGATTGTGTTTGGAGGGTATGTGGTACCAGTTTCAATTCCCAAATGTAAAAAAAAAAAAAAGTAAAAATCCTCAAAGCTTGAGATAGGACCCTTAAATTGGTTTGAACCTCAGTGTTGATCATTCCATGGGGGATAGGGTAAGAAAGTTACACATAACTAAGTGTTTCAAATTTTTGCGATATCATTTGTTAAGGTATAACACAGCTCATAAAGTATTAGCTGAAGATTTGTGAAAAACGAATGAAATGAGTTTCTGAAATTTTATCTTATCTTTTTGGATCAGGGGGATATCTAATAATAATACTGGGAAGTTTTGTCTTGCTTATACATACACATCCTGACATCCCTATGCCAATGATATTACTGTTGGTTATGTTAGGGAGTGATAATTAGTTTCTATCATCATATATTTCTTCCACTTGTTAACCATAGACATTTTATCTTATAAATGACATTAATGTTTTCTTTATTTTGCGCCTTAGATTGAGACAATGAACAATGAAATGGAGGTTAGTGTCGTTGTTGTACTCATTGCTCATCTGGAATGTATGCAACAATTCATTTTGTTGTTGTTCAGTATTTGTGCCTTGTTATTACGGCGTAATGAAAATAGGAGAAATCGAAGGCGGAGAGTATCCGGCAGTTTATTGACCAGGATGAGGGTTAGGGAGGTCAATTTCCATAGAATAGTTCATCTAAGTGACACGGCTTGTATTGAGAATACAAGGATGGATAGAAGCTGTTTCTATAAATTGTGTGAGATGGTGAAAACAATCGGGGGTCTGGCGTCGACTAGGCATATGGGAGTAGAAGAGATGGTCTCAATATTTCTTCACATTTTGGCCCACGATGTGAAGAATAGGGTAATAAAAAGGCAGTTCATGCGATCTGGTGAAACCATCAGTAGACAATTCTCCAAAGTGTTGCTTGCTGTCTTACGGTGTCATACTGTTTTATTTAAACGACCTGAACCAGTTGCGGAGAACTCGACTGATTATAGGTGGAAGTGGTTCAACTTAAGTTATTGTTCTTTACGTTCTCTTACATTCTGTAATAGTTTTGTCGATGTCCCACTGTATTGGTCGTGTGGTACGTAATTTTTTATGTGGTTTATTATTAGAATTGTTTGGGAGCACTAGATGGAACACACATCAAGGTGAATCCCCTGCAAGCTGACAAGGCTAGATACCGGACTAGGAAGGGTGAGATTGCAACCAACGTGCTGGGGGTTTGTTCCCAAGATGGACAGTTTATTTATGTTATGCCTGGATGGGAGGGTTCCGCAGCAGACTCAAGGGTACTCAGAGATGCCATCTCTCGTCCGCATGGACTAAGGGTCCCGAAAGGTAAATATCAAAGTTTTTTATCATCAACATTGGGTCACGGAATTAACTGTGTACATACATTGAGTTTAACATTATTTTGAACTGATATTAAATACGTTTCAGGTTACTATTACTTGTGTGATGCCGGTTACATGAATGGAGAAGGTTTCCTTACACCTTATCGAGGTCAGCGATATCATTTGAGCGACTGGAGACATGGTACGCAGCCACGAACGGCTCATGAATTCTTTAATATGAAGCACTCTTCCGCAAGGAATGTCATAGAACGATGCTTTGGAATGCTGAAGGGTCATTGTGCGATTGTTAGATCTAAGTCATACTATCCGGTTAAAACTCAATGCCGCATTATTATCGCATGTTGCTTGCTTCATAATCATATAAGAAGAGAAATGACTGTGGATCTGCTGGATGAAGAACAGGTGGAGCCAATGCAACCTGCCGAAGAGGATGTGGGAGGAAATGACTTCATTACCCACGTAGAGTCTTCTAATGCATGGACTACTTCGAGGGACCAAATGGCGGAACACATGTTTAACACTTGGAGGAGTCGTGTGTGATTTCGACATCATTAGTTTACTTTACCGTTATTTTTTTTAGTGTTATATGCAGACTCAGTGCCGCATTCGAAGAAACTTTTGTTTGTGTTGTATCGTGTTGTACTAGATAACCACTCACTTTATCGTTTTTTCAACTGTTGTAATGGTATTAGCATTCATTAACTGTTATTACAGGGTTATCCATTATCTGCCATCACATTTTTATATGGGTGTTGAACTTGACATTGGATTCACCATTTTTTTTTGCATGAATTTAACGAGTTATATAGCAGAGCTAGAAACACAAAGGACTATCCATGGCCGAAGAGAGTCAGCAGTCAATTAAACGATGTAATCATACATGGACTGCCGAAGAGGATAAAGTGCTCGTTGAATGCCTCACTGATCTAGGTTTGTGTTGGAGGGGAGACAATGGTTTCAAGGCAGGCTTTTCCAATGTGGTAGAAAATATGATGCATAGCAAGATTCCAGGTTGCTCTCTACGAGCTAACCCCCACATCACATCCAGAGTTAAATTGTTGAAAAAGCAATATAACGCCATCGCTGAAATGGTAGGACCTAATGGTGGGAGTGGCTTTGGCTGGAATGATGCCAAAAAAATGATAGATGTTGAAAGGGTAATCTTCGACGACTGGGCAAAGGTAGAAACCTCCAAACTATATATTCTTGTGTCATTGTACTTGTATGATTAATTGCCATTTACACTAAAAATGTTTTCATTCATTATTTTTAATATTTTTTGTAGACACACCCCAGTGCTAAAGGACTTTTCAACAAGCCATTCCCACACTATGATGCTTTGGGATCAATATTCGGTAAGGATGTGGCCACAGGAGGTTCTGCGGTGGGCGCACAAGATGCTGTGAACGACTTAGAACGAGAGACAACTTGTTATGATGATAGTGGGACCCCATTCGAGGAATATCTAGACCTGACTGGGGACTATATCCCAAGTCCACTTGATGAACCTCCCGTGCCTGATATTCCTACAGAAGAGGCTGTGCCCCAATCTCCCGTGTCAATTGTTACGGGAAAAAAGGGTAAGAAAAGGACAAGGACTGAGGATCCTTTGGTTGATGTCATGAAAGATCTTAGTGACACATACCGAAAATCTACCAACAGCATTGATAAGTTGGTGTCCTGCTTTCAACATCAAGCTGATGGAAGCAGCAGCAGGATGTCAATTATGGATGAGCTGAAAAAATTTGATGAACTCACTGATCCTCAAATGGTTCATATAGCTTTGCAGTTGAGCAGGGACAGTACTATGACCGATGTGTTCATGCAATGCAATGATGGCCAACGAAAGTGCTTGTTGGCTGGGCTGTTGGCTAACTTTCAATGAAAATGAACACTTAAATATTTTTTGACCATGTTTGTGTTCTTGGATGGTAGCTGTGATACTGACAATGCTTTTTGGTGTCAATGATATTGATTTTTTGGTATGATGTAACTCTCACATTATTAGGTAAAATGTTATACAACTGTAGAGTTGTCAGTCACACAAGTGTAAGATGTTTGACTTTTTTTGTGTTAGCACTGGTGTATTGTCTCCTGTATGAGATGTATTGATGTAAATCTATATAAAAAGCACTTATAAATCTATATAAATAGCACTTATACATCTTTGTCTATTTATTGTTTGTTCACTCAAGAAATGTCTGTCAAAGTGAGACTGAATGCAGGACTATTTCCAAGGTATGATTCATGATGATTGACATGGCAGATTTGTGTCAACACACTTGAAAAGGATTTGAGTCCTACCCTTGGGTTATGGTATGTTCCTATTGTAAGTGTTTTGCCTGTCCTTGTTAGCAAAATCTTTTTCATTCCTTTGATCTACCTGCTTAAGGGAGAGCTTTCTAGATACTGCTGATTTATATTGAATTTAGTTTTGCTTATTGGTCTTTGTATTTATTAACATTGATTGATTCCCATAATGAAACAGGTTGTTAAGTGTCTATTGATTGAATCATTTCCAGAATCAGCTCTAAATGAACAGGCTGGATAACTACTGCTTGAAACTTATGAGGAGTATGCTAGACATCCCAGGTGAGTTAAGCCAATGATGCTATATCTGTCAATTAATTTCTTGTATGGGAATTTTGAATATTTAATGTTAGACTTTGATTGCTTACTAAGTTTAACCCCTGTTATGTAGTCTCTAGTAGCAAATGAATTTTTTTTTTTAAATAACCAATTGTCTTTCTTTACATGCTTAAGTTCTGCTAGACAATGCTCCTTTGTGGTTTTGCAGGATCAGTTGGAGGGACTTGTGGTATGGCAATAGGAGTCCTTGTTTCTGTTTATGTTCTGTCTCATCTGACCCTGATTCTTTTGGTATTTGAACTGGTAATATGATGTATTAACAGCTGGCTCCATCAGCTGCTGCAGTGGCTAAAATATGACTTCAAATACTTTTTGTAATTGCTTTCTCCTATTTATTTACTTCAAGCAGGTCAGAGTGCTATTGGACAAGGCTGAAGCTGTTTCTAAACTCTGGAATAATGCACCTGTTATTTACTTCAAGCAGGTCAGAGTGCTATTGGACAAGGCTCAAGCTAGTGATATGTAACATTGCCTAACAACACAGATCCTTCCAGCACGGTCTGTTGAGTGTAGATTAGTTGAGATTGCAAGTATTCTACACCAAGTCAAGCAAATGGAATAATGAATCAGATGCATACCCAAGTGACCGAAGATCATAACAATGTTGGCTATTCAGAAAGGCCTCAATGGCTTCGTGCTGGCTGTATTAGTCACCAATGTTGTTGAGATATAAATATGAGTAGTGAATAAGATTATTTGGCTGTAGCTGTTTCGAATTTTGGCTGTAGCGATTTCGAATTTTGAACCCTTCTAATGCATGGTTTTTACTTGGCTTAATTATGAGTTACAACCACTCATTGAATAAGATTAGTTTGTAATCATAGAACCTTAATTATTTACCAAGCTGTTAATCTACTAATATTGAATTTTCAGCATTGATTGATTCCCATGTGAATTGTTCTGGATCTTGTTGAATAATCTGGGCAAGATTTAAGTTGTGAATCATGTTTTAATCTTATACTAAACCATTCTTACTTCCCCAATAAGAAACTTGTGAAACTATAAATGGGAGGACACAAAGAAGAAAGAAACTATCTAAGGTGGCCTTTATATAAATGAGGTATGCTTGTAATCATAGAACATTGATATTAATAAAGACCTTGTTTTCGGCTTGGGCATCTAATTTTTGTACCCTTCAATGGACAATAGTTTTGTGTAGACGTGTCCTACTCCTGTTCATGCCAAGGTTCTATTTGGGAGTTTTGTGTAGACGTCTCCTACTCCTGTTCATGCCAAGGTGCTATTTGGGACTACAATAACGTTTGAGGTTGGAGAAATTAATGCAGTGCTTGGTAACTTTATATGAATGTATAAACAAAATTGGTGTGCATCAATTTACCATTTTCCACCAAAATAATAAGGCATATAATAGAACGTGCATGAGTATTTATGCTCTGCTTGCCAATAGTGTTGATATTTGGGAGCTACTTTAGTTACAATCGTGCATGTTAACTGTCTCTTGGTTGCATGTGAGAATCCTTTCGCCTACGCATAGTCATATATACAATAATTCATAGCTTTGATCCCCACATACTCACAAATTAGATACACAGTAAAAACAATTTGTTGGTGTACAAACATCAATTATATACCCTAAACTAAACCAAATTACATCAAAAAATTACAGGCTTTTGGCAATACATGTGTGCCTGTATCTTCATGCTTAACAATTACATATTAATTACAGCAAAACATGTGCCATACCACAGGTCACATCATCTACATATTATAAATAATGTCATGATAATACCAAACGTTATGACAACGATCATATGTGAAAGGGCTAATAAATTTTCAAACTTCTCGTGCTTCACACAACTACGGCAATACGGTTCCTCAAACCACTCAAAGAAATGGCAGTCATCCGTGGTTCGGAAGTTACGAAATCCAACAAATTATCTTCCTGGATTCCTTTCTGTGTGGGACATTTGCAATGCAGCCGGCACTCCACAATAGCACATCTTCAACCTGGATGGGGATAAGGACGAAGAATGCCTCGAGTTCGTGCTATCACCGGCACCTGTTCCAAACCCACATCCACCCATACTTCGTCCGTACTCAAAGTTTGGTCAGTTTCCAATAAGGTTGTCACACTTTTAGACTGCCTTGTGGGTTACTGAAACAGAGAAAGAGTCAATTACGGTTAGTAGTTCACACTGTGGTCATATACGGATAAATAAGATAAGAAATAAAGATATCCCACAAAAAGTTAGAATATTAAGATAAAAATATTATAAGAGCGCATAAATTGAGATAAAAAAAGTGTATGGCAGCATCCATCTAATCAAACACACTCATAATTTAATCTACAACTACACAACAAATGGGTATGCTGCCCATTTATTCAACAATAAAGTCTTCAAAGAAATTAATGGCTTGTCATTGAAATCTATGTTTGCTTAAAGTTTAAGAGATCTAGCATTAAGTAAGTATACTTATAGTTCAATTTCATTGATGCAGCCTTTGCTCATGCAAAGTAGAATACTTATTATTCATGCTTAAATGCTATGTAAATTGCTATAGGGTTGATTATTCTTTAAGTTGTAAACTGTTACAAGATGCAAATTGTAATTCCAGAATCATACCTTGTCGTACACTTGCCTTCATTAATGGACGGTTAACATCCAAAAAAACGTTTTTCAATTTTAAAAGAAAAATTGCAGTTAGAAACAAAATTTTAAAGAGTAAATGAGAATCTGTGGTCAAGATATTGTTCATTAATAATATTCTTAACTTTATTTCCCTACAAAGGCTTGGCAATTCAACCATGCCAAACAAAGTCTTCAATTTCCCTTTAAGAACTACTACCATAGAGCTGCTTAAGATCTATTACAACCAAACTGGTATGAATAGAGAGACAAATATGTTGTGAATCAATTGAGAAACATAATTGGTCTGCTCTATTATTCATTGGAGGAATTACTTATTCAAGATTGCTTAGAATCGAAAAAACTTTTAAAATTAAATACAAGATTTAAAAACAAAGGTTACCTCAAAGTATAATTATGATTGGCAGCATTGATATAGTTATTCTGGTGTAGCAGATCTCAAAAATTTTGTGTTTTAACTTCCTATTATGATGTTCATGTTCAAAGTTGATGAAAGAAAAACCAATCTGAGTTAGTTACTACATAAAGTTAAATAATTTTCTATCAAGACAATACAAAATCTTAATACTAATTTTCAATTCTCAATATAGTCAAAGAAATAAATTGTTCACAACAAAGTTTTACTGCCCAAGCTAAGCTCGAATGATTATGCTGACCTCAGTTCAGCTATAGTAGGATATCCTCAGTTGATTAAACCAAACTCAGTCTACCTATAGTACGATATGGATGAATATGCCTATAGAGTTTTACTATGCTGCCATTTATGGGCTATTCTAGTCATTTGTTTAATTCAGTGCTCAGTGCTAAATAAGGGAGAGTTCACAATTAGCTTATATCGTGCTTGGGGGCAAAGAGTAAGGGTTACAAAATCAACCGATCAGAGATAGTATAGGTTCAATGTGTCTTAGGCTTGACACTATTTAGCTTGGACAGTTACAGGGCCCCGGCATGGGGAACTCAGTTTGAGTTTTCCAAGCTTGAGCTCCCATTTATTAAGGATACCTTGGACCAATCTATGCTCATCCAGGAAGGTATAGCAATCAAAGACAAAAAATAATTAATTCCGGATCAGCAATCAAAGACAAGCCACAAGATTAAGCAGAAGAGAAACCAAACAAGGTATTGATAAAGCATTTTTACGTTAATACATTATGTTCATGTAATGAAATTACTCATCATCCAGTACCATAATAAATTTTTAGAACCAAGGCAACAAGAGCATATCAGTTTGAACAAAATAAATGTCAAATAGTTGCTGAGAATAAAAATATGTCATTGGTCCTTCAAAAAAACAAATACCTGTGCAAGAATCCTCGATAGTGGCACAAAATAACACCCTTGCAAAGCTGGTCTATCAACCTCTGCAAACAAATCCACAAAATCAAAGAAAAATTAAAAAATAATCATCTCGATAGCACACTTTAAATTGACAAAAAAAAATTACCCAGATGAAATTACATACTTAAAGGGCAAACACCCCATGGTAAAATATGAAGCAAGCAGATAAATCCAAAAAAGAAAAACATATAGAGCCATTGAGGAGAAAAAAAACTTGTCAACGAAAACCGTACCTTTGCAAAGAAGAAGAAGAACTACTTCAAGCAAGAGCGTTTCAGAAGAGAAGAAGAACGTGTCGGACAACCTTTGTGAAGAAGAAGAACTAAGAGACGAGGTAAAATAAAATCAGTCGTCGTGGAAGTCGAACCCTAATATATGCAACAAATTAAACTACGCAAAACAACTGCGTCATCTCCAACCAAGATTAGTTTCTCAAACTTCCCAGTCATTGGAACCACATCCATGAAGGTAGAAGTGAAATTCGAACTACACACGGAGACAGAGACAAAGTGGGAGACGGAGACAAAGTGGGAGAGAGACAGAGATGACAAACATAAACAGAGAAAGACGTTGTGGAAATTGTCGTTGGGTCAATAAGTTTGTAAAATAAAAGTGTTATTTAGTCAGAGGGTTATTTTGTAATTGTACTAAATTTATCCATCTTTATCTTATCTTCAACCAAACACATATTCAAGAATTTCACATAATTTTCCTGGTAAATTTTTACTCAACCAAACAACTTTTTTTACATTTTTCTATCAAACTCACTTTCCAACCACTTTCCTATCAATTACATTTCTCTATTATTCAAAAAATTTATCCTCAACCAAACGCTCCCTTATTATCCAACAAGGTCACCTGATTCCAGTGATAACTAGTATCAGTGCTGATAGAATGAGGAAATCTTTTGTGCAATAAATGTAGGTACATCGATACAAAAAGGAGAAAATTTGTGGAATTAAAAAATAATTATACGGGTTAAAATGGAAATTGTTTTTCTTTTTTAATAAAAAGGAGTACCGAACCAATAGTATTGAAAAAATTTCCCCATAAAACCACTATTAGTATAAGTAATTCAAATTGTTTATAATTAAGTTTACGTATATTTATTACAACTCACCATGAAAAGTGGCATAGTTGAAATAAATTTGTCATTAAGTTCTAATAGTGAACCCTTTTTCTTTTTGATGTTACGGGAAGTTTTAGTATGGAGATACTTTTGAAAAATAACAGTAGTATGGAATTTTTGCCCCATTTCTTTTGGAGTGATGTGGAGGAGAGATTTTGCAAAAGCATGGCAACAAAAATCTTTACAGTCGTGTAATAAAATTTTAGGTTGAACTTAGAGTCCTTTTTAATGGATTTTTGAAAGAAAAAAATTATGCATTTAAAGGACTTTTTTCGAAAGCCACAAGTATGTTGCGTTTGAATACAGTACTTGAGAAGTACTATTAAAAAAAAATTATTTTGATTCTATTTTTAGAAGTTGAGAATGTTGACTAAAAAAAGTAATATTTCAATATTTTTTTTGGTCTTTACTTTTTTTAAACTGGCATTTAAAAACGTAAAAGTACTTTTTTTGGTCTTTACTTTTTTTTTGGTCTTTATTTTTTGGTCGTTTGGATGACCTTTTTTTTCTTGAAAAAAAACACTTTTTAGTTTTAGTTCATTTGGATGTCTGCTTTTAAAAAAAGCAGAAGTAAAATAAAAGAGCCAAAAACCTACTTTTTCCAGAAGCTAAAAATTTTAACTTCTAAAAAAAAACAGAAGTCAAAAGCCAAATATTTTTTTCAAAAACTAAATATTTTTATAAAAATATAAATAGTTTTAACTTTTGTAAAATGGACTTCTAAAATAAGGAAGAGATAAAAATTACTTTTTTTTTTAAAGGGGAACAAACGGGCTCTAAATTGAGTAGCAAGTTTTTGGGAAGAAAAAGCCCATCGATCCTAATCGATGGTGCTAAGGATCCTTAAAACTCATCTCGTCGAGTAGACCATCCTCCGTATGCTATACAAAGCTCATATAGAACTTACAAGTATGATAATGGCACATAACACGGTAGATATCACAGCAATGAATGGTATGTGACAATGAGAATAATGATTTCAAGGCCTTTAGGAGATGACCATAATAGTTTGCTGACTTGATAAATTAGTCACTAGCTTCCACATGTAAGTAGCGATCTTGACCATCTGGTTATACAAGCACCTTTGACCTGTGTTTATCAAAATCCGACTCTTAACATAGTAATAATGTGACCAGTGTTCTGATGCCAAAACATGCCTGGAATGAGTGAAAATGGAAGATGAAAATTGCCAATGTGTGTGAAGAAAATATAAATCTAGACACATACCCCATTTTCATTCTTCCTTTTTTAATCTTCCAATTGTCAACTCTATCAAACTCACTCTTTAATGAAAGGATTACAGAGGTAAATGTAATAATTACAGTAAAGGAAAGGACATGATACTACTACAATGTTCTTCTTCAAGGTTACAATCTATGAAAAATTTCACTTGCAGATTCTTATGCCAAAAAATATGCTACAACAGATTTAGCAGATATATTCTAGAGTATACAAGGAATGTACCTCCACTTAGGCATTACTTCCTTCTGGTAATGTAATCAATCTTGTACTTGAATCATACACCATTGCAGTACCACAACTGAGGCAACATATAACTTTGGATTGTTAAACAAATGATATACCATAAATCATATTAGTTTAATGATAGGAAATGAGTACTATGGAGTGACAGGGCTCGGATAATGCAGGAGTAGTTTTATACTTACTTTTCACATTTGACAGTGTTGGTGGAATCGCCACTTGAGATTGACAGTATTGTCCCAAAAAAGGAGGTATTTTCAGTACCACAGTTAGGACAGGGGCCCTATAAAAAATAACTATGTTAGTATATATTCCGGTTGAATATAACCTAAAAGAGACAATTACCAAAATCAATATACCTTCAAAATCAAAAAATCTTTTACAATTGCTTTTGTAATTGACTGAGCCAGCCACACAATTAAGGGAACAGCCGCAAACCAAGTGAAAATGAAACTAAAAGGCTCTGGAAGCTGCATTTAACAATTCACACATCTGTTACAAACTTACAATCATTAATTGTATTACTATTAAAAAATGATTTCCTGTCCATGAGATGAATCAATCTCATTGTCCTAGATTTGGTTTCTGCTCACCCTCAGATTTGATTTCTCATACATATAACTTTTTTCATATATAACTGAAACCCCATACTAACGATGATTACTTCTTCAGGGTTTGGGGCCTGGCCGCAAGGTACTTTACAAGATGAATATGGTAATTGGTAATCGTGTACAACAACAATATCCAGACAGCATGTTACAATGTACTTTGATTTTATTATCAAATGATGATCCACTTTGCATTTTTCTCTTTAAAGTGAATCTTGCACTCTAGAGGATCTTTTTCTGACTAGAAGATATAAACAATACAGCTAAAACTGCTTCCTGATATCGAGAAGGCAATAGAATATAAGAAGGGACCATACAAATGAAACTATTGTCAGAGACTATATGACATTCAAGAATCAAACTGCATCTAAATCACCAGTTAGCAATGCTAAAACAAGGAAAAATAAGGAGAGCATACCTCTAGCAGATATGTAATCTCAAATCCGGTCACATCATCAAGGAAGAAGAACCTAACAGATTGTAGGGAAAAAATGGAAAAAAGCAAAAAAGTCATGACCTAACTTGTGCAAACAGTAACTTCTACATTAGTTGGCCTTGCTGTAAAAACATGTCAAGGAAATATATACTTTTTCCCATCATTTGGGATGAGAATCTTTGACTTGAGAAAGATAAATAAAAATGAATAAAAAAAAAATGGACACTGATATGAATATTCATTTCTTAGCCTAGGGTTGCTATATATGAAACTAGGGTGTCTTACAATATTTCACAAATATATCTTCAACGTATGTAATGCTTTTTCATCCACCAGAAGACTACTGATTCAACCAATATCAATCTTTAAGGACCAAATTTAGCCACTGGGAAATTTGCAAATCAATAATGGATACCAATTATAAGCTGTTTTATTTCAATGTAAATGCTGGAGATCAGCAACCACAAAAGGAAACCTCAGCAAAGTGGTTTTTCACAAATCAGTAGGAGGATCACCCGGGATTCTTGAAAAGTCAAACCAAACCAATTTATTGGACCCAGAGAGAAAAGCAGGTTCACCAGTTATATAACTTGATTAACTAGTTTCCATTCACAGTTCCCTCTGGATCCGACAAATTGGCTTGGATTTCCAGCTCAGGAATTCTTATTAGTATTTTCAACTTGTATTGCAAGATCCGATCTGCTAGTGTAGTACAATGAAAATGAAAGGAGCAGAAACAAGCCCTTCATTTATTAGAATCGAGAACAACCACCTTAGGTTGACAAGGGATATCACGTAATGGTTGTATGTTGTAACAGTATTGCTTTCTACAAATGCTAGTCCAAGTGCATGTGTAAATAAGAGATTTTAATAGTGAACCGGAAGAATATAACACTCCTGATAGATAAATGGATATGTCAACCCTCAAAAATCGGCATATATTTGAAATTTCTGATATTCCTTTTAGTTCCCTTATAATAAGTAAGACATTATTTAATCCTTGGAAATAGAAACATATGAAAAAGGATAAATATAATTTTGATATCTTATCTTCAAAATGCACATATGGGTAATAATATGACATATTTTTCGAACTTTTGTTTTTACCATATGTTGTGTCATACAGAGTACAGACCAACTAATGGAAGTAGCTGCAATTAAAATTTTGGCTAAATACATCATGAACCGATGCACTCAATACACAGAAAGAAAGGAAGTTACTTACAATCCTAATGCAATCACAGTTGCTGGGACGTTGAGCAGAAACATCTTTAAATAGTCAACAGACAGGTCACTGTAAACCTGTCGAAGGATGCCAATTAAGCATGGAATAAAAATTAAATTTAAGCAAATCTCATAGTGAATTAAGATATGTAATAAAATTATTTATGTGCCTTTCTCAAATAGCTTAAATATTAAGTAGACTTAAATTATCACATGGAAAGTTCATGTTATAGCTCTTGTCAGTACTTCTGATATAACAGATCTTAATAGCTCATAGTCAAATTCAAAAACAAATCTTTAGATGATAGCACAGAAAAAGTGCTTATCTATAGTAACAATTGACCAGCAAAACTCAAACCGGAGGACAAACTCCATAGTAACAAGCACCTTTCTACTGCGAAGACTGCACCGTGGACCCTCAGCCACAATTTCACTCCCTTCCGCCTAAAAGATACATGAAATCACTAAATGATATCAGACGAGGAAGAAGACCATATATACATATATATATGCAATTTTTAATTCAATAAATAAATAAAAATATGATGTGCAATTTTTAAATTTTAATTAAAACTTCTTAATTTTTATTAATGATTAAATATATGCTATATTTACAGTGATTGGGCTATGATACAGTTTTTCTTTGATGAAATGAAAATTCAAACCTTCAGCCTAAGTTTCAAATCATCAAACTCTTTATCGCTCAAGATTGGTTTTCCAGACACATAAGCCATAGACGCTTCCAGGAATTTTTGCTCATCAGAACCTGTTTAGTGAACCAATAAAAACTCAAAATAAAAAAACAAAAAAAACTGAAGAACAGTGAGTGAATTAGTTGCTCCTTCGTACTTAGCATTACAACGCTACTCCCTTCCCACATGAGTTCTTCCTTGAGATTATCAAATTCCTCATTTGACATAATTGCCTTCCCCTCATAATAGAATGCCTGTGGAACAAAACAGTTACTCTTTTTTTGTGAAATCATAACAAATACATAATAAAGACAGAAACCAATTAAAGGTGTTAAAAAAGAAGTGTTTTTGAGGCCATACTTGCAGTGCTTGAAGAAATTCTTGCTCAAGTTCACCAACTGATTTCTTTTGTTTTTTGTCTATGCTACAATAGGGTAGGATTTTACTATCAACAACAGCGTCTTCCTCAACCTTGCCTGAAAGAGAAGAACAAGTAGGTAGGTAGGTAGATAGAGGGAGGAAATTGTGTGGCATGGCAGACCAATGAATGAACTAACTAAAAAGATTGGTGACCTTGTTGATCGGCGGTGGCCTTGGGAGAAAACACAAATAGCCGGCGGCGAAGGCATAAGTGGCGGCCATTGAATTGAATAAGGTGGACTCCATAAGCAGAAGAGGAAGACAATGATGAGATTGGAACGAAGGGTGTTGGAGTAGGTGCAGTGAATGGACGCGGGTATGTCAATGTGAAGGCTAATTTGCTGGCCATCATGATGATGATGATTACTACTACAATGGTTCTGGTTGAGAAATTCAGGGTCGTTTTTGTTTGGAGGGAAAGAAAGAGAATCAACAAAAAGATAAGGCAACAATGAACGTGCGGAGGGAATTGCAACGGCATATAGCATGTTTGTATGTTATAGAGACGTGATTTTGCCTATAGAAATTATGTTTGGTTGTTATTTATTCAAATTAAGTTTGCAATTGAAAATTTAAAACCCTAAATTTTATAATAAATAAATTTATTTTTTAATAATATTTTTAAAATAAATTACCTTATTTCAAACTCATAACTAAATTTAATTTTACAAAATTAACATATTCAAAATCAAAAGACAGTGTTGCTTTCGCTATTTGAGAATATAAAAATAATTTAATATTTTGTTTCGTTGGGAGTGAATCCTCTCATGTGTAAAAGTGATTATGTGATCATCTTATTTGATCACAATCACTCATTGATGATGAGATAAGACAAAAAAAAATATATAATTTTTAATGAGTAATTGTGATCAAATAAAATAATCACATATTCAATTTTTTTCCATAGGAAGATCCACTCTCCCGAATCATTGCAACATCATTTACTTAGATACTTTGTTTCGTTTGGCGCATGTTTCTGACATGACATGTCTTGTGAACTGCACCATGTTTCGAATTGAAATCTGCCATTCCTTTACATGGAGAATCACTGCAACACAAATTGCAATATGTTAATGCTAAGCAAACTGATGTGGAAAATTAATGTGTGTCGCAATTTGTGTTGCGGTAGTACTGAAAATTCAGTTAAGATATTCTCCTTTACATGTGGGCACGTGGATGTAGTCTATTCGCTTTACGTTTGCCATAGGTTATCACGTGGGCATAGACAGGTCCCATCGAAACATCTAATCCTATTACTACTTTTTTTAAAATCAATAAATAAATATTTGCTGAAATTTTTTTTTCTCTAGAAATATATTAATATATTATTAACGAGGTAGTCATGTCATGTCATGGATGACGATGTGGCCTCAACGGGCCTTTTATTTCAGCCTTGAATTTACTCTTTCTTTCTCCTCAGTTTTGGGCTTTCATCATTCACAGAAGCAAAGAGAATCGGAGCAATGACCCAAAGCCAAAAAAGATAACGGACGAGGAGCAGGCTTACCCAAACCTGTTTTGATTTTATTTCTCTGTGATTTTCAAGATTAAGCTTTCTTGCCTAGTTGAAAGAAAGTGTAAAAGATGCAAAAACTTGGGGGTAAAAATATGTTAAGGGCATATTTTAATTCTCTTATTTTTAACTTCTATTATTTTTATGAATAAAAGTTAGGCCAAACATGTTTTGAAAAAAGTTCTTATAATGAAAAAAAAATTATAATAAAAAAAAACCAAAAACTCTTAGAATGAACTTTTTTTTAAATTCTTATCAGCTTTTAGTTTTAGCTTAAAAATAACTTCTAACTTAACAAAAAAATCAAGCAGTAAAACTAATGTGACTACGGGTAGTCAGGTACCATCTTACGATGATTACATAGAATAGGAATATGTTTTATAATGGAATGTGTTGAGGTTTGGCCCAATTCATACCCAATAATGATAAAAGATTATTACTACTAATATCTTCACAATGATGTTGAATAATCAATTTTGATAAATATTTGTTCAATTTTTTTGGCACATTTCGCCCATATTTAAGGGTCCATTCTCCCCACTCGCTCCAACAGCCTATAAAAGGCACACTATCACACGTTGAAAAAGACCTTACACACTGCATATATATTATTACGCTGCCAAAACAAACACTATCTACTGGTCACATGGCACCCATTTTTTCTCTGTACATAATGAAAATCACTACACTTCACCCTCAGTCAAAGACTTGGTCATTCTCATATCTAAGGGTGTAAATAGAAAAAATAGCCTATTAAGTGCTTACGACCTTACTTAATATCTCTAATAAAATAGGACATAATCAGGCTGTAAAAACCATATTTAGAAAATATATTATAGGCCTTCTTTTACAAGACCTCATTTACAGGACTACAGATCAGCCTATATCAGTGTCGGACCTGTGTGTATGTAAGTGTATGCAAGTGCAGACACAAATTTTTTGGAGAAAAAAAGAATAAAATATATTTTGGGTCATCAAAAAAAATTACATG